CATTATTACAAATAACTTCATTTCTGGACATTTATGGTTTGATTTCTTTGTATGTATGGATCACTTGGGTTGTTACCAACATCTGGTGAAAATTTCATGWCATTAGCACCTCTAGTAATATATTTACTGAGAAAAATGTTGACGTGCTCAATACTTATTTTACCCGCTTTATATGCGATGTAAATGCCAAATAAGGTCATAACTTCCAGCCAACCAATTCCATAAATCTGCCATTTTACAGTGGTTTTTTTAGTGTAAATTAAAGGATGAAGAAGCTACAAGTGATAAGTCAAAAGTTTCAGTTGTTGGGTGTAATAACCCACACGCCGTCACCCCAGCAGCAGAACCTTTTTGAAATACCTGTTTAAATTTTTTTTTTTTTTTAAATGTACCCACATCAGTGGGGAAAGTCCTCTTTAGGCATTTTTGCATTGCAAGGCTCGGCTTGGCCCACCTACATTCCAGTCAGCCCGACCTTATTCTACCCCGGCCCTGGTTGTGTTTGCATTGAGCAGAGAGCTGCCTCGATGTGGGTGGGATCGTCATATTAAATTGGGTCATAAAGGCTAATGCAAACATGCTGAACCAGAGTTTGAAGCCAGGCCAGCCCTGGCTGATCTGAACCTGGCCTTGCAGTGCAAAAAAGGCCTTTTGTTTGTCCGAAGCACTGCTTCAGCAACCTTCAGGTTGTGAGAGGTGAGATGCTTGTGGTAGACTGTCAACCACAGGAAGGCTGCTGGACCAGATGGAGTTTCTGGACTATGTCCTGAAGACCTGTGCAGAGCAGCTAGCAGGGGTCTTCACCAATATCTTCAACCTGCATTGTTTCAGACCACAGTCCCATTCTCCATGAAGTCCTCTATCATAGTTCACATACCCAAAAAATCACTCATCACCTGCCTGACTACAGGCTGGTGGCACTAATTCCTATATTCATGAAGTGTTTAGAGAAACTTGTCCAGTGTCATATTATGTCTTTGACACACATCACTTTGCTAACAGGGATAACAGGTTGAGTGCAGATGCTATTGCTGTAGCCCTGCACGCTGCTCTGTCCCATCTGGGTCACCAGGGGAGCTGTGTGCATCTTCTCTTCAATGACTTCGGATCTCCTTTTAACACCATCCAGGCCCACAGACCGGTGTGCAAGCTTTCATCCCTCAGACTCCCAGACTCCTATGCTCCACCTGTCTTTCTGACAGATTGCACACAAAAGGTCAGGGTGGGCCTCCACATCTCCTCAACCATTACTACTGGCACCGGTTCACCACAGGGCTGAGAGTTCTCAGAAAGAATAACACCTGCCAGAAACTGCTGGTGTCATTCTATCACTGCTGCATCAAGTGTGTCTTGTGCTTTTGTCTCTGTGTGTGGTTCTCCAGCAGCACAGCAGTACTGAGGAGGAAACTTCAGGGGATCATTAACACGGCCCAGAATATCACTGGATGCTCACTGCACTCTACTGAAGTTCACAGCTCCCGCTGTCTTAGGAAAGCCACAAACATTCTGAATGACTCCACACACCCAGGTCACACCATGAACCAACCACTGTCATCAGACAGGAGGTACAAGAACATTAAAACAAAGACAAACAGATTTAAAAACAGCGTTTACCCCAGGGCACTGAATGCAATGAAACACCACAGTGCAAGTGTATGTGGAAAAGAATGCCAACAACCAATGTTTAATGAACAGTGTGCAAAATTACTGTACAATATCAATGTGCAATAACCCCTTAAATGTGAAAAGTGGGCAGTGCTGTATGACTGTGCTTTTGTTTATTTTTAACTTGTAAATACTTCGACACCTTTCTTTTATTACCCTCCTCACACCATGAGGGAATGTCTAATTTTGTTATACTTGTTACAATAGCTTTGTTGACATGCACAAAATTCTTTGATCAGATTGAAATGTATTCGGATTAAATAATCAGAACGTATCGTTTACATGGGCACAATCCGATCATGATGAGTGTTTACATGCACCGGGCTTTTATTCTGAAGAGAAGCACTGACATGAGTATTTGCTAACTTTACCTAAAAAAACAAACAGAAAAAAGTTCTACTTCCATTATGAACATAAACAAACAGTTCTGAGCTCAGAATGGACCAGCGACAGGTTTTAATAATGGTGGAGACGTTACTGCACTCCCTGGTTGAGCTGCAGGTGATGAGCTGACTTTTTATTTTATTTTATTTTATTTTTTTACGAAGCGGTGCAGGCTGTGTGTCTTCCTTCTTTATGAGAGAACGGGATGAAAACTTCGGTGCTGCTGGAGACCGCTGGATGAAAGTCAGCAGACATGTGCAGTCAGGTCAGTTTTCCACAATCAGAATAAGATGATCAGATTAAGTGTTTACATGAACGCTGTTCGGATTATCAATCGGCATAAACCACCTCTCTCATTCCGATTACAAATTCATTCGGATCCAGCTGAATCGGGTCAGAGTAATCCAAATGGGCTGTTTACATGACACATTTTTATTCTGAATGGCCATTTAATCTGATTACTTATGTCCATGTAAACGTAGTTAATGACAATAATGATATTCTGATTCAGTGACATTCTTGGTGCTAGCGTTAGCTAACATTTTCACTATGTTGAGGCACCGTGGTTCTTGATGCCTTGTTTACAAGACATGTTCATTCATATTGTGGTAACATTTATATTTTCAAAAGGAATATGAAGTGTAGTTTGTGTTAAAATACAGTATTGTCAAAATATAAATATGATTACAGATTTAGTTAGAAATGTGTTTGCTATTATTTGAAAATGTTACATTTTCAAGTATTTTACTAGTGTAATTGTGTCAGATTATCTTTTTTTTTGTTTGTTTTGAATGAAATATACATTTTATAGTTTAAGAGTTACACAGTATACTGTGGTGCTTGTTAAGTTTCAGAGCTTACAGCTACAACAGTCATTTTAGTGCTGTTTTTTTCTTATGCATGTATAAACAGAACATTTTCAGTTCTATAATATGTGTATATTCGTTTGGGTTATTAGACAGTTGTTAACATATTTTATTCAATTTGAAAATATATAGTTTCTGCACTGCTAGATAATGTTTTTCTGCTATCAAACTTCAAACATGACTCAACGGAGAGGAGTGAACTGCACTACGAGCTGGAGGGCGGGGTGAAGCGCTTCATTTACAAAGTGCAGAAAAATGAGTTGCTCGGAGACACACCTCAGCAAGTAGGGGTCTCTGTGGACGAGTGGGCGTGTCACAAGGAAAGGCGATTCTAAAGCGACACACCTGATTTGACGGACATTGTTAAAGGGACACACCTGACTGGACAAGCAACAAAAGGGGCGATACCATATGGCACCACCTCATTGGACAAGAACAAAAGGGGCGTTACTGTACGGCACCACCTGATTGGACAAGAACAAAAGGGGCGTTACTGTACGGCACCACTTTTTCTGGAGAACCCTACTTGGGTCACATTTCTCCTGGTTAACCTTAGTGTTGGGGTCAGGGTCAGGCTGTAAAGAGGTCAAGCAGGATCTAAGGATACCATCATGTAGGCCTCGTAGCCCACAGTGTTTATGCTTTTGACACGCCCACTCTTGTGACATGCCCACTTTTATTCTGCAGTTAACCCCTTCTCCACCTCAGAACAGGGGTGAAGGAGGGGTTGTGGAGCTACAATATTCAGAATTGCTTTTCTACTTTATGTAGACACAAAATGAATCATTTAAATGTGAAAAGGAAGAATTTAAAAGCATGATATGTCCCCTTTAAAAGCAATAACTCAGTAGTGGTTTTCTGACTTTATACACATGGTAATAGGGGCAACTTGCTCCATTCTTCTTTCCAATGATGCTTCAGTTCAAATTTGCAGACATGCAGTATGTTTCTGCAGGGCTCTCAAGGTCCCACCACAGTATTTCAATCAGACTGAGGTCTAATCTTTGACTGAACCACATTAATCTATTCAGTCCGATCAAGCCTTGTTGTTGATTTTCTGAAAAGACCCCATAAAGTTTGAAATAAGTAAGCGTGACATAGCATCACTCACCATCACAAACCTCTGAGGTGCAGCTGAATGTTCCACCTTGGCAGATACTGGAGAGTGGACAGGAGAAAAAAATGACTGTCAATGTGGTGAAAAACTTTGAACCTCTGTTTTATCAAATTACAGAACAATAACATACTGGTTGAAGAAAAGTGACAAAGAGTACAAATCGGCCATTAAATTGAGCACTGAAGATTTCATGCTGAACAAAAATGATAAGTTTTGTCTCCCAGGTGAAGCTGCAGGACTTCTGATGGTTAAAAATACTTTCAAGAGTTGCCATAGGTAAAAAAATATAATTGCAAAACGATTTGGCTAATCTATGTACTATAAACCAAACAGCTTAAAGTTGCCTGATGTGTCCTTGATAACTGAAAAAAACCCTCTTTGGTCCCCTTTTTTAATTATGGGCACTATGACCTTTCTCCAAATTTATGCAACACTGAAGAGGCATGGAAACCATGGCACAATGTCCAAAATATTTCACATCTAAGAGTGAATCCCATCCCCTACCTTAATAACCTCTGTCATGGTGATGAATTCTCAGACTATGCCTCCTCAAACGCCAAAATGGTGACTAAGTTGAGGAAATCTTCAAAGTCTCCCTTTAGCTGTCTAATAATGTCTACAAAACAGGTTAGCAGTTCCCCAGTTCCTACCTACCCAATCCAAGTACAGCCGTGGATGTGGCTCTATTTCTTTTCTGAGGCATTGATCAGTTTAATAGAACCTCCTTGGACCAACAATAGGTCTTTCTCCAAGACCACTCAGAATGCTTCCCATGCCCATGGTTTAGCTTTCACAATGACAGAATTAGGAAGCTAGCCTGCAAAAATGATTGTATCTGCTAGAAATGCCATGCTGCTTATTTGCATGGTCTGGATGAAGACCCTGACCATGGATTTCAACTGGGGAACCCCTATAAAAGGACAGCTGAACTTTATTCCAATTTACTCGGTCATTTTATCAGATAACAGGTGTGGAACCAAAAAAAATCCGGACACTGCAATCAAACCAAAATGTGCTTCATACAATAGTTAGTTTAAGGGTGTGCACATTTAAGTAGCCAATGCACCAGGGTTTTTTTTTTCTGTTCTACCAAAGAACAAATTTCATTACAGGTAAACTGTACAGGATTTACAGTATGTGATAGTAAATGTGTGGAAGATTTTTAAATGATGCATCACCGTCTCACTTTCTTGCACAACAAAACCTGGCATTTTCACATGGGTATGTACACTTTTAAAACAGTTAAAGCTTCTTTTTCAACACAGGTGTATATTTTAGTATGTTACCATGTGTTACAGAGGTGCTGAATAGTTGTTCCAGGTTGCAGTAGGGATTCAGAGAAGCTCTCGGTGCTCACATTCCAGCTTTGGTGCTCATTGGGTAAAGAGAGTGTTGAACAGGGACAGTCGGCACGATGCACGCAGGAACCCCCATACAACAACTACAAAGGACACAACGAGACTGCTAACAATCAGATTCAGTAGGCTTTACACACACACACACACACACACACACACACACACACACACACACACGGTATAAACGCAAAGTTGTGCAGACCTGTCCTGGAGGGCATGTGCACCCAGGCGTACAGGGTCCATGTAAACACTGAGTGTGTGGCCACAGGTCCTCACAGGTAAACGGACAAGAACCCACACAATTACTGTACACCTGCTGGCTCGGACACACTGCAAAACATAAACCAGTTACATCTTCACTCAGGAATAAAACAGAATATAGACAAATGCATGTTTGGCTTTTCTATGTATACATACGTCAAATTTTAAGGAAAGTCTTCAGAACGTATCAACTCAATCCCATCAAGATAATAAATTTCTTGCTAAATTAAAGGTTGAGTATTCCTTTAAGGCAGGAATGGACTATATTAACTGATGACAATTACAAAAGTGTATAAAAGTGTCTCAGTGGCACTGAATTGGTTGTTTTGACAGATGTGCCTCCAACACAGATGCCACCTCGTGCACACCACTTCTCTACTACTTAAGAAGAAATGTTTAGCCATGGCTAAGAATGGAGGAAAGAAAACTGGACACAGACATTCACGTTTCCGGTGAAATAGGAGGTAGACTATCTCACAGAATTTCAAGGGAAACATTTGTGTGTTGTCTGTTTAGAGATGCTCTCTGCCGTGAATGATTTTAATATAAGTCACCACTACAATTCGCTGCACAAAGCTAAATATGAGAAGTTTACTGAAGTCACAAGTACATAAAAGATTTTTTATCAGAACCACACAGGAGTCTGCATTCAGTATCAGCATATCAGCTCACTAAAGTTTTCATCTTTTGCTTGCTTCAAATGTCTTGTATTCATATTTATTAAACAAGAGTACAACTGTTATGCATGCATTTGAGCATGAAATATATTAGATTACGGCACTGTATGTTGGTTCAATAAACTTATATACACAGAGATATTCTTAAAATGGCACTTTTATTACTTATTTAATTTGGGTAAGTGTGCAGCATTATGTGGCTCTCTGGTAGTGTCAAAATGTGGGCCCTTCCATCATTCAAGTTCCCCATTCCTGGTTAAAAAAGTTTTTTTTCACAACCAGGTTGTCTCCAAAAGTCAACTTTTGTAGATGTACATCCAGTGGTACTTTAGTCAAGTTTCATTAAAAATACTTTTATACCTTATTAGATATGCAGACACACAAACACACACAGACGGGGGCAAAAACATTCATCCATTTTCTTTAAACACTTCTCCTTTCCAGCAGTCACTGAGCAGGAGGTGGGGTACACACTGGACAGGTCCATCACAGGGCCACATAGAGACAATATGACAAGCAACCATTCACTCTCTCACCCACACACAGGGACAATTTAGAGTTACAGATAAACCTAACACGCATGTTTCTGGGAGAAAATTGGAGAACAAAATGTAACAATGTAAAAATGAACTTTTAAAGTGTGTCTGTGTGTGGGTGTGTGGGTGTGTGTGGGGGGGGTATTACCAGGCAGGCAGCTGTTGGTGTTACAGACTGTATGTTGTTCAAGTGGTCCAACACAGGCTGCCCCACCAGGTTCTGGCTCTTGAAGTATTGTTTTGTTCCGCATGGTCACCCCACCACCACAGGAGGTGCTGCACTCACTCCAGGCTGACCACCCACTTAATAAACAACCCACTACATGAAGAGAGACAGTAGACTGATCAGACACAGTGCTGTTACAGCAAATTTGCACTTTTAATATTAGGGAAACATGAGGCACACTCAACGTATCAAATGCGACTATTCCTACTTCTCAGACCTGGGCAAGGCGGCAGATCACAGCTCTCTATCTGCTCCGTGTCAGTACAGGAGGGACCGCCCTCGGTGTCCTGACAACTTCGTGTCCTTGTCCTTTGGCCACGTCCACACGAAACCATGCATGTGCTCCACAGACTCCAAGATCCATAAACAGGGCAAGGAAGTTTGGTGCAAACCAGAGTCCCGTTTTCACACACACTATAGAAAGTGAAGATCAAAAAGGTGAGAGACAGTTCTTGGCAGCAGTACATGATGCAGCCTGGTACATACCTGGTACTTACCAGCTAAGTACCATTTCGTACCTGTTATTTACAGGGGCTTACCAAACATTATCAAGGTACTAACTGGTACTTACTTGTATCAGATAAAATATATTGACATACCATACCTAATATTTATCTAGTGCTCACCATGTTTGGTGTAGTGTACAAAGTAGATAGCCAGCTCTTCCACTCAATTTACCATGACCCTCTACCAGTACATAGCCACTAATGCACCAGGCAAAGTCCTTGTAAGTACAGGGTATATAGCCAGTATGTACCAGGTAGGTAACCTCCAAGAACCAGGTATGTATCAGGATATAAATAATATTTTGCTACCAAGTTCTCAGATTTAGAGCAGGGGTCTCCAACCAGTAACTCGTGAGCTACCAGTAGCTCCTTGGCTCATTTAAAGTAGCTCTTCAGTGCTTAAAAGAAATTAAGAGAAGCAAAATTTAATTTGCCACTGGCTAAACAAACTTTCATTTAACTCCAAACAATCTATAGATGTCCCCTCCCCTTGGTTGTCAAACAGTTTAGGGCTCAGTATGGTCGATCGGCAGACGACACACAGTTACGTGGCTGTTCAGCATTCATTTTCACACACACTTTTCAAAGATCCTTGAGACAAACTGTGCCAAACTCCTGGGAAACCCCTCCTGCTGCAGTATATGTCACTACAGGGGGWTTCTTCCTGCTGGGAAAAAATGTGGGGAAACAAAATCAGAGACTTATTACCCAACGTTATTTGTGCACAAATCTGTTGCAGTTAAACCCCAAGTTATTGGTGTAAAATACAATATAATATGAATAGATAATCACAAAAAGCACAATTATGTAAATTCAGTGTTCTTAGTTTTGTGTGAATTGAAGACAAAGTTTTGTGTGCAAAACAAGCATATTCCAATGGTTTAAGTTTAAAGTTACATGTTGCAAAAAGTAGCTCTCAGACAATTTCATTTTGTGAAAGTAGCTCTTAAGGAGAAAAAGGTTGGAGACCCCTGGTTTAAGAGGAATAGTAGGACAGTTAAAGAACAATAAAACAAAAAAATATAACAACCTTTCTAAATTCGAAATTTCTAAATTTCATTTAGTTTCCTAAATGTTGAAAATGTTGTGTTAACATCAAAGAATAAACATCTCAGATGATGATGTTCTCACCAGGTGTTACATTCAACAACCACCTCCTCTTTAGGCTTGAATTCCAGCGTCCTGTTGCCTGATGGGACACCACAGCGACACTCTTGCGCTGGAACACAGTGGCCGTCCTGAAGCAACTCCCCTTCGGGACACCGGCAGCCTAAGAATAAAGGAAGGCAGAAAAACATGCATTACTGTGGGGGATAAATTCCCCAGAGTCTAAAGTTGTAACCATTGTATCTTGTGCTGATGTTTACCAGAGTGACAGGTGCCTTGGAGACACTGTACATGCTCCCATAAGTCATTGCAGCTGCGAGGACACTGATTAGCACAGCTGTCCTGGTAGGTCCGCTCTCGGTCCTCACAACGCTCACCTAAAATCATTTTTATTCAACTGTATGAATATTAGACAGAAGCCATCATTTGTTCAAAATCCTTTAAAGAACACTTGAGCGCAAACATTCAGAATCATCTTTAGTTGAAAAATAATGAAGCTGTATCAGAGGGCTGGGGTCAAACGTGATGTCATGTTTGTCATGATTGAATGAATTATGTTTATGTCCACTAGGTGGCGAGCATGAGTTCATGTGAATGTATAAATGTAAAGAACAGAACAATAGAAGGAGATTCTTATGTGACACACCTGTGAGCAAACTGCGTGAGCAGACCTGTAGAAAGATGCTTTAATAAAAGTGTCTGAGCATTAAACGTCTGGTTCTTATCAAGCATGAATATAACAATGTTCAGACTACATCACAGAGTACTCTCAGCTACTACCACGCAAATAATTGCTCAATGAACAACTCAAACAACTTTACAAAGAACTAATTTTGTTGCCATCATCAAACACTTTATAACTACCAGAAATTTACAAATACATGTATTTTTTTCCTTTAATCAGATTTATAAAAATTGCCAAATAAAAAGAAATTTGATGAACATATATACATACATATATATATATATATAT